TGTTGATTCTTGGCAGCCACTCGATATTTATGCATACGTGACGAAATATCGCTTAAAATGCTCGTCAGCATTAACATAAACTTGTACGTAGCAATTGGTGGCATTGGTGCTAGCTACCGGCTGTCATATAAATATTAAGTTCCATCGTGCTCTTTGTCATTGGGAAGTAATTCTTTCGCACATCATATAAAACCTAAAGTTAAGCAAGAGAGGATTTCTGACGTGTATTTATAACGATGCGTATTTAAGATGATAAAGCTGCAACATAATCTCGTTGAATCATGCAAATAATAGCACAAGTAAATCTATAACTCATGCAACATATTTTTGTTTAGATTTCAGGAAAACTTATTCGCGTTTAATTTATAGACAAAGAAAGTATATTAAAATAAAGTTTTTTTTGTGATATTTTAAACTTATTTACGATATGAGCAATTATGCTGAAGAATCATACAATTTTTTAAATTAAAAAATAAATTATCAATATTTTACAAGTATGAAAATATATAATTCTAATTCATAAGCATCTTTTTAAATAAATTTGTTTTAATATAAAATATTTTTTTATAAAAGAGCCATTATAAACTAATAAAATATGTAATTGATTGAATAGTAAAAAATAAAATAAGTTGAGAAACAGATTTGCTAGTGCTAAAGCTAAAATCACCGCCACCAGAGTGCAGCATTTAATTGGTACTCACCGAGCACCCTCTGTGTAACTCGAAAATAGCTCAATAGCCTGAAGATTTTCAGTCTCCTGTAAAATTAATTTTAAATACATCAATAATTACTTATATAAAACATTTAATTTTTATTAGGTATAATAAATTTATACAAACTAATCACATCAAAAGTATTACATAAATTTTTACCTTTAAATGATAATATATACGTTTCTTTTAGTGTTCAGTTAAACTATTACATATGATTATTAGTAAAATATTATTAGAAATCAACTAGTCTCCATATAAAATTTTGTAATTATCAAATAAAATTTGAAAAATAATCTTAAAAACTGTCGATAGTCGGTAACATCACAATAACATGCATCAGCTTACAAGTATGCAAAAATTGTACAAAAAAATTTGTCAATTTCTAAATAAAAAAATAGAAACTTTTTTACTTGACATATATATACCTAATTAAATATATGTAAAAATGTATAGATTTAACACATATCTTAATAGATCCATTTTTAAATTATCAGTAATATTATTACATTTTCAATACAAAAAATAATGTTTACCTATATGTATATTTTGGGATATTTTATTTACTTGCGGTATTCAATGTTAGCTAACAAGAGATGTCTTCCGTGTTTTAAATTCCAGTTGGAGTAATATTTCTCGCAATAAATTGTTACAGTTTTTATGATGTATGTTAGCCTGTTAGCATTAAATCATTAATAGCTTTCTAACAAAGATTATTTGCAGCAATAATAAATATATTAAATTACGTGTCAATTTAATTTGTAATATTACTATATCAACTGTAATCCAGGATTGTATATTTCAAGAAAGAAATAATTAATCAAAAATTGTATAAATTCACAAGAAGTATTATTAGGCACGAAGGACCGCCTTATCCATAAAAATATGACGTTTTTTTTTCACTCATGTATATATTTAGTTTCATCGGTTAATTTTCACTTAATACTATAAATTACTAACTACGGCGATTTCGCGTTTTTAACTAACGGAACAAACATATAAACGATGATCGTGGATGCAAGAACTGATCGTTTGCTATACTAATTATGTAAATAGATGTGTTGATTTATAAAGAATTCATCATTGAAGCAACGCTACGATTGCACGAAGTTTATTTGACGAATTGTCGTGTTCTCGTGCTACTAATATGATATATCATATTCCGAGATAAATTTTCCGTGCTAAAAACACTAGAGTGTAGCGATAAGTACATACCCTGCAACGATTGTATGACAGCTCGTATTTTCGATTAATTTTGGTGAGAAATTGACAATGACAAAATATGGCGGATGACTCCGTTCCTTCTGAACGCACAGACGCGGGACAGCGAGATCGAAATCGCGATACTAGCGTATAGCAACGATCGCGTTCAAGTGCCTTGCGAACGTTCGACACTTTGCAACATGCATTCGCGACACGACGAGCACGAAAATCGCTTTCGGACGCAAACGATCATGGAAAATGCGGAGCAGTTTTATCGCGGCTCTATTAGCCGCTGCGCGCGCGATTAACAATTAGCAATTTCAAATCTATCAAAATGCAACTTTGCATATTGATGCAGCGAACTGATCATAGATGGCGCGCGTAAATTCAGAAAGCTCACTTTTCAATGGCTGCGTTCGGAAACGTCGCTCGGTGCCTCCGCAATGTCGCGGATTCATCATCTGTCCTTGTTTAACATTTAATGTTAAAGAAGGACAGATGACGAATCCGAGGCATCGGAGATATCCGAGCGACATTTTCGAGCGCAGCTCGCCAATATACTTCCGTGCATATGACTCTCTCTATAAGCGGTTTTTATTTAATATTATTAATCGGAATTATCGTGTGTATTATCTGTTTATAATAATATTTAATCGGTAGATTTTTCAAATATATGAGAAATCTCTCATTTAATTGATAAATAACATAATATAGAAACCTGACATTATTACCGACAATAGATATCAAGAATAGTTACCTATCGATAAATTTCAGAAAAGTAGAAAATGCACCTGTTAAAAAAATATACTATAAACATCATCCATTGACTTCCTTTCGTATATAATAATTTTCGTATAGTATATTAAAGCGATAATGCTATGCATAATAAGAGAGACGCTAGAGATACAAGTACCGACACGACGCAGGTTGCTCGACAAGGCACCATCAGCTGACCTCAGCGCCGTAGACAGCAGCAGACGCGTATTCGTTGGTATTCGTAAATAACGACGCGTACGGACAGGTTGTACGGAGCAGCTTTCTTTAATAAGCGACGTACACGATATGGTAGACTTAAAGACAAACGTCAGTTTCGCATGCCAACGGTGTCTGCAACCGTTGAAATTAGACTCGAGTTTCGACCACCTTGGGGAGCACACTCTGGCAGAACTCTCACGTAGGTAATTTCTATTTTCTACTGGCGACTTAGACATTCATCACTGATCCGATTGCCCCACTCGATACCTTCGTATTGATAACGCTTCTGTATATGCACTGGATGCTTATGACTAACTGTGACGCACTAATCTAGTTATTTTCAAGAACACTGAATAATCTGAATTTTCCTAATAATTTTGTAGCAAGCACGAACTCTATTAATAAATGCAGCCAACATTGTGCATCTGTGTGTAAACAATAACTTTTACATAATACATCTATCTAAACTTTACGTGCACTGTCACTCAGTATACAAAAAGAAATTATGTTAGCCGTTAATTATATGTTTAAATGCTAACAACAGAGTACCAGTATAATTACTTAACTTACTACAATTGTCTAGCTATATATTGTATAGCTAATTTTGATTATTATTTCATTGTAGTTCCTATACAACAACAAGTTGTCGGAGAATTGGAACCTCAAAGTGACAGCATAGAACACTTGGTTCCACCATTCAGATTGACTGAATCAGGAAATGGTACAAATGGATTTATGTTGGTTGGCGATTCTGGTGAAACGGAAAGCTTAAGTCATCATTTAAAGGTATACAGATAATTAAAGAAATATCTTGAAACTGTAGCTACAAATTGATCTGTATTTTTTCTAGGTACGAGCAACGTTGTTTGATATCCTCAGCAGTAGCAGTTCAGCAGATCATCCACTTTGCGATGAATGTACAGATAGCCTTTTGCTATTAATGGATCAACAATTACGAATGACAGAAGGAGAGTGGTCAGATTATAATGAATACCTGAAGAAACTAGAAATTGAACAGCAGTATCAGGGACATGAAGATGTAGAAATGGAAAATCTCACCAAAGAGTTACAGGATGTAAAGGCCGAAGAAGAAAGATTGATAAGGGAACTGGAGGCATTGAGAAAAGAAGAAATAGCTACTAGGAATGCCATAGCGGAACAGGAAAGAGAAAAGGAGAGATTGCAAAGTGAAGAGGACAGGTATTGGAAAGAATATTCAAAACACAGAAGAGATCTCATGTTAGCTGACGATGAATGTCGCAGGTAGATAAAATATCCCAAAGCATACTTAAATATCATTGTTTTTCAAGTAAAACAATTGTTTATTAATATTTTTATTTCTATTATATTACGTAAAATGAAATTTTTTTGTCTCCTAGTCTAGATAATCAACTGACGTATGCAGCTTCGCAACTTGAAAGGCTGAAGAAAACAAACGTTTTTAACGCCACATTTCACATCTGGCATTCAGGTCACTTTGGAACTATAAATTCATTTCGATTAGGACGATTGCCGAGCGCGCCAGTGGATTGGAGCGAGATAAATGCCGCATGGGGACAAACAACTCTTTTACTAGTGGCTCTTGCGCGCAAAATGAATTTAACGTTCAAGCGTTTTCGTTTAGTGCCATTTGGCAATCACAGTTATATTGAGGCTTTGGATCAAAATAAAGAGCTTCCATTATATGGAAGTGGAGGATTTAAATTTTTATGGGACACAAAATTTGATGCAGCTATGGTAGCGTTTCTGGATTGTTTGCAGCAATTTAAAGAACAAGTAGAAAAAGGAGACAGTGAATTTTGTCTGCCATACAGGATGGATCGAGGTAAAATTGAAGATTCCGCAACAGGCAACTCTTACTCTATAAAGTATGTTTGAGTGTTAATAAATATCTTCAGCCTAACTCTTATACATGAAAAATTTACCTATAATACAAAAAGTATTTAATCTTTCTCTTTTCCTTTTTCAGAATACAATTCAATTCGGAAGAACAATGGACCAAGGCCTTAAAGTTCCTATTGACAAATTTAAAATGGGGTCTTGCATGGGTTAGCTCTCAATTCACAAAGGATGAACTGAATACTAATTGAATGTCAGTCTCCTTGTAATTTTATGTAACTTAAATTGTGCAACTATCTCGTCATTGCTTGTGTATAAATGCTCTATTTGTAAATAAATGCGGTTGAACAATAGCGTTTATTTTTACTTGCAATTAATTTGCCATTCTTTAATTTATTTTAGAGGCCTGAGCAAGATAAATTTTAGCTTTATTCTAATTAACAGTACTCAGATTTATTAAGTAGGAACCAAGACACACCGTGAAGGAAGCTGGAGGGACTCGGTACTTCTTTGGTTCTCATGTAATCCTTTAGCTCAGGAATGCTTAATTCCACCACTTCTATGACTTCACCTTCGGACTCGTCACCACCACCTTTGACAATGAAAGATTCAAGTTGGATTAAAAATTTTGTTGTATACATATTTGAGAGATAGTTTATGTCAATTATATTACGAAAGTCTTCTCTGAAACTACTTTGATAAAATATTACTTTAAGAATGTTTTACAGTTAAACTTACCAGGGTGTATCTTCATGTCGTCCGTGACTTCTACATAGAAAAGAGTTTGTTTTGCACTAGCAGAAGCGCTAGATCTAGAAAACACAAAATTACATTGTTTAATACTTACATATTCTAGACATAGTTTATTTTATTCAGAGCAAATTATATATGTACAGAAACATCTCTCATTACTTCTAAACTTAACAAACAACTTTGTCTAGTGCATAATGACAAAAATCAATGTGACTAAAGCATAGCAAGTATATTTCAGATATCCTACTTACAGATAGGTAACAATTTGTTTAAATGATGAAGTGGGTGCTTCGTAACCACACTCTTCCTTCAACTCTTCCTTTGCGATCTCGACGAGAGATTTATCCTTATCCACGATACCAGCGCAGAGTTCCAAAGTTATCCCCAGTGTCGCGGGATGACGCTCGATGTCGATAGCCTCTTGATTCTCCGGTAGGGATGCGTAATACACTGCTGGCCGAAATTGTCTAACAAATACGAGCTTCTTTCGACTTGTATTGAAGACAATTATACACACGCTGTCGTGAATCCTTATCACGTCCCAATTCTTTGATTGACCATCATGCGTGTAGTGCAAGCGAACGCTCCTTAACCACGGCGAGTCCTGCGGGACTTTTCCCACGCGGACATCGTGCAGATCAAGCATCTTCTTACGCGCAATCTGGTTCCTCTCATCCTGTATCGTGACATTCATCTCCTGTCAAAATACCGGGAGGCCGGGAGCACGAAGCACCGAGTAGACCTTTCCCTTAACCTCAACTCCCGTTGATAATGATGCGAAACTTTACACACGTGTATGCCACACCGTTCACAGATGTCGCTCATAGGATCAAACTAAACGCAAGTATCTAAGGCGTTTTTTCGTTATCTAACCAGAAGCGACCACAGCTAAGGCTATCTTTAGTCTTCAGGGATCAAAAGACGAAGATAGCCTCAACCGTGGTTGCTTCTGGTTGCATAACGAAAAAATGCCACTAGTTAGCTACTTGAATTCGCAAGTAAAAGTATGTACGAATTATACATATTCCGAGTGTATTTCGATAACGTATCTCATATTTCAATCCGGTGTGATCAATCTGGCTTTATTAATGCAAACTTGACCAATGTCCTACCAACCTCTCTCTGTTTCTATACTAATATAGATTAACCTTAATCTTGACTTAATAATTTATAGATACTTTTTATCTTTTTCTAGTTCTCTATAATTGCAAGAATTAGAAAAGAATAAAAGGTAAATTGAACCGAGATTAAAATTAATCTACATTAATATAGAAACGTGCATAACCTACATAAAACTTGTTTTCCTATTACACGTTTTGACACGATATAGATTCCGTAAATAATATTCAATAGACTGGATTTAAATACACCGTGCATCGACTGAGAAATCCTATATAATTGCATAGACACTATCTGAAATTATCTCGAATACAGTTTTAAACGCATGCTGTTTTTTGCACAATAAAAATAATAAATCTATCAGACGAACTAATTTATCGAAACGGGTTGGGAACGATTAGAAATAAACATTACTCAGATAATGACTTCTCTTTCCATCTCTTTAAATAATATCGGTCATTTTAGCGAGATATTAAATTTACGAAGGATGTAATCGCGTTTCATCTTTTCTCTTCTTCACAAATTATTCTCGCAATTAGCCGACTGAACTTACGAAAAGTATGGGTTGCACGTAATCGAATTTAACGCGTCAGAGATACAAACCTCCGATAAAGCTGCTTCTCTTTCATGATCGTGCTGGGGATAATGAGGGAAGGGAGAAGAAAAGGGAGGATGCCGTGGTTTCGTTACTTCTTTCCCTTCCTTTCCCTCCTGCCTCTCTTCTCCTTCTTCATCTTCGGCGTGTCGTCCGTCAGCATGAACGCGTCGAGAATCTCCTGCTGCCTGACCTGGGTGTCCACGTGAATGACGTCGGGCTTCTTGCGGTACCTGTTGACCGCTGCCGGCGGCGAGAATTCGATTTCCATGTCCGACGCCGTGGAGCTCGACGCGACGGAGGCATCATCCTTGTTGCGCACTATCTTGAACTGCAGCGGCTTCATCGGCTCCTCCAACTGCGCGACGTCCGCGGTCGTCTCCTGCCTGATCGGGTACATCGTCACGTAGTAAGTGCCATCCTTACGGTGAATGTGCAGGGTCGGTGGCGGTTCCGCGTCCTCTTCGCTCTCCTTCTTCACTTGCGACACGTAGCTCATGCTTTTGTACACCTTGCCGCGTCGCAAGCTGGTACGCGAGGGTATCGACCTTGCGCGATAATCCTCCATGGAAGCTCCCTTCGCTTCCTTCAACATTTCATTCAAGTAACGCCCGATCGCGCCTGGCTTCCAACCGATTCGCGGCTTGAGCTTGCCTACCGTTGCTCTCGTATTCCAAAGCCAGCCCATGTTAGCCGGCACCCTAAATCGTGGATCGATGCAATTCTTATGACCGTAATTAGTCCCAGGATAGACATCGCCAATAGAATAAACGTATCGCATCACTCGTCTGCTGACCTTGATAGGACCCCTATCACGATCACCACTCGGACCTGGCTTACCCTTCAGATATCGTCTCTTTTCGATTAATTTGCCAACAGCCTTTGCAGCGATGGTACTGGGCGGTAACGTCTGTATTGGCTTCGTCTCCGATTCCTCAACATCGTGCGGCACTGTTCGATTATTCTTTTTCTTCCGGCGAGATTTGCATTTCGGTTCACCGCAAGGACCAACGTTGACGTCTAGCGGCGCGGAGGTCGTAACGTCCAGTTCTTTCTGCTTTTCCAATTTCTCTTCCTTCTTGTCCTCTTTCTTTTTTGATGGCTTGACGGCGAGCGGGAGTAACGTCGTTTCCGGTAACAACGGTATCGCCTCGCGTACAACACCAGGGCGTCCTGGAATTATGGAAGTAGATGCAACGTAAGGTGCGGAGAGAGTACTAGCGGTGGGTTTACCAATCTGCGTATTGCAAGGGGCAGGACACTGAACCGTTGATGCTGGCGGTGCTGAGATGGGGTATCCTCGTTTTCTCTCGCTTGGTGTTTCTTGAATGGTGTAATCCCTTTGTATGTCTCGGCCGAAATAAGGACTTTCAGATGGATCCATCAAGCCAAGACCCTCCATACCTGGCACCTTACCGAGAGAATCCACGAATTCTTGGACCTCTTTGAAGGCGCGAATCATACAATCTGCACCCACACATGATTTTTTCGAGCATCTAGACGCATTTGTTTTCCAAGGCGACGAAACTTTCCTCGGACAAATGCAGGCTGTCCCTTTAATTCCGTCCGCTGTTCTTGGTCGAGATCTGCGGAGCAAGTTAGCGCCCGTTCTCTTGCTCTTTTCGTATATGACGGTCGTTGCTTCGGAAAGCGCACAGGCTGATGCACCATAATCACTTCCACCCATCATACGAGTTTTTAAATTAATATCATTCTCACGCCACGTGTATCCTTCGTCCCATGAAGCTTTGTTATTTAAATAATTATCCTCTGTGTCTTCACCACCTCTCAGTCTCGTAGAGTCATGATAGGTCACGTTTTGCTCGATATCTGATTTTAAATAAAAATTATCGGAAGCAAGCGTAGCGAGCGATGGAAATTTTTTAAGAGAATCGGGATTTCTTAAAGCCATGCAACAAGAACGGACACATCCGGAACGACACATCATTGGATGCATCGATCGGTCTGTCGGTAGACACGAACAAGTTGGTTCGTCATGATAGATCTCATAGACTAAACCACGGTACTTGTGATCGTTTAATTTCTCGGCGCTCGTTAATTTTTCGAATCCTGGTTGATTCATTGATATGCGAGGTGGCGATTCCGGTCTCGTCAACACAGGTTCTGTCTCTGTACGACCCTCCTGATTGTATAATTTTGAATATGTAGGATCCAGAATTTTGTACAATAATGATGTATTATTATCACATTTTTTCATGTGTCTCTCGTTGTTTTCATTTTCATCGGACAGTTTCGTGCAAGAAAGCTCCCAACCGAGAGGAAATCCTCGAAGTATAAATGACTTGTCGCGAAGCGTAAGATGATTTATAATGGAGCTTCCAAAACACGACAGTCTCATGCACATGGATACAGAACCGCACGGATTCCCATGTTCATCGGTCAAAGTGTAAATTTTTGTCAATACGTACGATTTTGATAGTCCATCTATCTTATCCTTGGCCGCAATTATGCGATCGTAAAAACTTGTTGGCAAAAACGCCGTTGCTGCGCAAAAGAGAACGAATCCAGCATCATCTCGCGATCTATTATTATGATCCTCCTCGAGAGAAATCCTATACACTTCAATGCTTAGAGGAGTCGATTTTACAGATCGTATTAAATTGTTCGGTGTCCGGACGAGTAAACATGTTTTGCCTTCGCAACTAATGTACTCATTGGAAAATCCATTTTCCTTACTCCTAGTTCTTCCGTCATTAATCTTGATTGATTCTTGAGCGACGACGTCGATAGGTTTAAGATCGACGAAACCTATACGTATCATCAAATCGCACCCTTTATTACTAACAGTCTTTTCGGGACATAAATTTAGATGATCAATAAGAATTTCAAGCATGTACAATTGTTCTCTTTCTAATATTGACATATTTTTCTTCAAGGCCATTTTGGGTGGATAAAACGCAGAAATGAAGATACGCACACGTTGTCAGCCACACGACAAATTTAGAAAGTGACTTCGGATTGACGTTAACGATGTGTCTGTACGGATTGCGCCATCAATTTTGGGAACGTTTCGGGTCTAAAATCGAACAATCTCTCCGCGCGCGCGTCAACAGGTCAATTGACATTTCTAGTTGTCAGATAGTTGTCATAACGACGAATTGAAAATAATTATTTGACGAAGGTAAAAAGTCGCACTTCAGAGCCCATTGAAAACATCTATCAGAAATTACTTTTTATCTTTCTTTTTTTTACCTTTCTTTGCTTTCTTATCTTTCCGTTTTTTAGCTTTCGCTTTTTTAACTTTCGGTTTTGGAGTAATCTCCTGCAATACCACATCCTTGGAGATTTCCTTATCGAGAAACTCGGGCGGTACAAATCGCGTCACGCGGATCTCCCGTTCCTTGTCCTGCTCGCCGGAAATGAAAGATTTAGGCCTCAACTCGTAGTGCGTCTTGAAGATACGTCCGAGGCATGCGACGATGAGTTCCATATGTAGCGTGCCAGACGGCTCTTCGCCTGGATCTACGAGGTGGATGCCGCCCTTCACCATAAAAGGTTTCGGCTGATTTTCTGGATCATTACCGAGCATGGAAATCTGATCACACAAACAGCCTGGCAGAGTCAATTCGGCCTCCGCCGTGGGATAAGTCTCGTCCGCGCGAAACACGCCGATCTTAAGACTCGACGAGCGTAATCCTTGGACCAAATCTCGCGGTCGCTTGACAAATAGGCAGCATTTACCAACCATAAAACGCACATCTTGATCACGCTTTGATGCGTCCGAATCGTCTCGCGTGAACTCAAACACGGGAAAGTCTAAAAGTTTGATCTTGATCACGATAGGGTGTTCGCCGATGTCTTTGATTTTACCGGGCGTCAATGTCAATTTATCGATTAATATCTCGATTAGATAGATCTGCTCGTCGTGACCGCCGAAACAGGACATGATGTAACTCGAGGCTTTTCTCGTGGGGAATCGAGTCGTATCTATGATTAAGATAAATTTAATCGAGTTGTTGAGATTTTCGTCGAAATAGTTGAAATAATTTTGTAGCAAAAGTTTTGAATGTCCGGACGATATTGTGTACAACAGTAGAATTTTTTGCCGAAAATTTGGAGGTTTAAAAGTATCGTGGATGGTTGACAGATGGAAAATAACAGTAGAATCGCGGTTTATTTCAACGTGGTAATCAGTATAATATAATAATTCGAGCCATATACAAGTTTATTCGCGTTGCCTCGTCACCAACGCAGAGTCTTATACGCTAATCGTTTCCCTGAATTTTAAGTATGGAACAAATTGAAACTTTATTGAAAGAAAAACGTGAGAGATAGTAATCAAAGAAGATTAATTTAATCGACGTCGCGTACATGTTTTCTTAATGCGAAGATTGGATTTTAAATACCTCCTTGCTCAGCTTAATTCTTCCTCGTGTGCACGCATACGCCGTCATCGATGTGCGAACGAGGAAAAAACCTATCAACTTACGGTCACGTACATCCCATCCACTATCCGCGCGATTCTTCGGCGTTTCTAATTCCACTGGCAGTTATTACCTAGCTCCCAAGGTGGTATATACTTAAAGTCGACGGTGCGAAAGATGCTGCTAGAACCGTTACGAAAACCTGCGAGAAAGACACCCTCGCAAATTCATACTTTCCATATTCCTCATTAAGAAGAATAATTTCACGAACGCCTACGTGTGCTTACAGAACGCGCGGTTCACGTACTGCTGGTTCTTTGAATCGATCACATCTCATTGATTTGAGAATAAAAAAAGAAACAGAATAAGAAAGATGCGCTTGTCGTAACTAAATTTTTGCCAAAGAATAAAACCTCTGTTAAAAAAAATGTTTGTTATTAACTCACTACAATCAGCTTGCATTGTAACGCCAGAAGCGAGAAAAAAGTATATGAAGAAAATTATTATAAACTGTATTAAAATGTATTTTTTAATAAAACGTTTGAAATCAATGGAATAATAAATTTAGAAAATATATTAAAAACTAATTAATATTTGATAAATAACCATATATTTGAAATTATTAATTATGTCTAACTATATATGGGAAACGAAACAAGAGCTATATGACAATCGTCGAATTGAGATAAATATAATTTTTTCTTCTATTCCAAAATAAAAGGAGAGTTTTCAATTTACAAGTGTACTTTATCAAATACAAAAATTGTTTTATTAAAAAATGTTTTTATTTCAATATATTTTGTAAGAATTTTTGTGTTTTCTCGCTTCTGACATCATTAATCTGAAGATCCGTCATGAGAGGTGTGGTCAGAAACCTTAAATCCACAAATATAAAAAGGTAATAGCTATTTTACCTTATGAATGACGAAAATAAAAATATATGCGCGATAATTTCATTCTTTTTCTTAATTAGCTCAATGAAACGTAGCTGCAATCTTAAGCCATTTCCTTCATTCGAGAATCAATCGTAGGAGCGACGAGTAATCCCGCCAACGAGATTTCTCGACCGTTTGGGATGGGGATCTCATTCCGTAGATTTCGGCGAGAGCAGCATCCCGAAGGGCCCCTGAGACACCGAAAGCCAAAGTATGCACTAATTGGTACGGGTGCGTGCGCGCGCGCGCACACACACGCACATGGTTCAAAGCGAGATAGGCGGACGCAGAGCGAACAGGACGAGAGATATATTCTGAACACCCGTGGACGCTCGTCCGGAGCGCGGTGGAACTGGTGGAAGCCTGGTGGAGCCCATCGGGCTTCGGACCGAAGTGAAATTCCGAGCCCGAGCGACACGGCGGCTCGTTAAAATGCTTCTGGGAGTTTCGGGCGCGGGACGCTTCTGGATAATTGGTGATTAGCGATTAAAACAAACGGATGTATCTCCGCCAGCCGGACCTGCTCTCCATCTCGCTGCACTGCCTTTTCCTTTTTCCTCGCGAGTTGCCGACACCTTTTTCTCCTCGAGAAAGAAACGTCTTTTATTCGTGCGACCCGACCGTCAGGATCGCTTTCCTTGTCGACCCGGACGTAGTTGTTTCTTTACGAAGGTGCGCCTGGGAATCTGAGTTGTCTGAAGCTCGGTCTGAAGGTCCTCGGTAATAATCGTAGCGGTATTCGAATGACCGGAAATAACGATCGAAGGTGGACGTTAATTCATCGTGAATTCTTATACCGGAAAGACTCGCATCGCTCTAGATAATCTTAAGGATTAACTCCTGTTTTGGCTGGCACATTGTCTTTATTTAAGGTTTTATTCTCAAGCAACAAATTATCCTGTTTCCTGCTATGGCAAATGTCAATTAGCATATACGCTAATGTTACTCCGAATAAGACGCGCTGTGCAAACAACCAATTTTTAAAGAATTTAACAACGCTCAGTAATTATGGACATTTAGAGCTGATTTCCTAGCACTCCGCTGCGCTGTCGTAATTTCTAGTGTTATTTACGCTAGAACTCACAAGTGCAAGCTCGAACAATGGCAACAATACTGAAAGAATAGTCCATAATCAAATTAAGTGTCGCGCGTCCGCTTAAGGATTAATCACTGTAATCAGCGATCTTTCCACGATAGCGCGCCGCAATGAGATAGTCCCTCCCCCCTCCCCTATTTCCGGTTCCATCGATGACCGTTATTCCAAGATCTGCGTATATTCCAGGAGAATGCATGCCTAAGAGAGAAATAAAATGCATTTTGCGACAGGATGAAACTGTCATGTAGATCTCTCTTTTCCTCTCGCATTACGACCCAAATAACACTGCGACGTTAAACCTATTTTCTCTCTCGCTGCTAAGTGGTCGCACCGCTTAATTATAAACATCGTGGAGAAATCTTCGTCGCACGAAGACGATCCCACGATGTTCTACGCTAGTTATTCGACTTCTCGTGCATAGGTAGCACTTCTCTTCGTTTCTACGTACTTGTTACAATACACGGAGAGTAGAGTGCTTTGCCGGAGTCTCAGAGTTCATCGGCAATTTGAATAATTTTCCCCCGAGAACGATTTCTCGTTTCATCTAACACTATATCACTTTTTATCACACGGCAGTCTTGCTTGTCGTGTCTGAACGCGATTGACTCAATCTGTTGAATTGATATTTGCATACTATATGTTGTACTATACGTAATGAGTCAAAGCCAGTTTTTTCTTGGACTTACAATTACAACGACTGCTGCATTTTCGAGATACAAGAGAATATTCAATTGTGATTAATTAATTCCTACAGCTACAACTACTTACAATTATGACGCTTGCGCATGCAATTGTAGAATGGACTTAACTTCTTATACCGAGCTTACTCCGCATATTGTAGACGACGCATTATAAATCGACCAGAACGAGTCGTTGTATCGGATGATATTAATATAATATATATTCACAAAACGAAGAGCGAAACGTGCGTACGTGGTAATTGTTTGATGCGCGTTTGTTACAGAGTGCGTGAAATAAATAGCGACGTCACTGTTACGCGAACTCGGTGATGCAGCGTACTATAGTAAACATTCGCGGCGACCTTGTTATCATTCGCGCGGCGAAGTTCGAGTAGGCGGGACGCAACGGCTCGAGTCGCTTGGCGCGTCGTCGTATCATTGTCCCTCGAGCCGCGAGAGGTGTACCGAGTAAAATTGGAGACGATTCTTCAATCTGTAAATACGATTGGGTATCCTACGATATACGATTCGCGAATTTATCACGACGTTTAAGCGACGAGCGTTCGTCAAGGTGAATATTTCGCGTGATTTATTCACTTGAAACGGTAAAATAAGATTACGAATTGTCTCTTTGTATTATTTATCTTTTTAATGTGCTCCTTGCATTCGAGTACCTTTTGTATCGCGCTTCAATTGTTTTTTTTATAGTTTGTAATTAAATTTACATATTAACATATTGAAAATTAATATTTTCGATTAATTCGTCGAGTTCTTGGGTGTATTTCGAAATGTACTGACAGTAATTCTGATAATAATTCTCCATATAATCTATAGCATACATGCCGTGAGAGCTACAGACTTTTGGTATTATTAGTATATTTTTAGAACACACTGCTATTTGAATATGTTAACTCGGTTCACATCATATCGCACGGTATCAGAACGAAGTTGGCGTCGTTGGCGACATGTATTTTTCGTCATTCACAGAACATTGCGAGTACGAAAGAGATTCTGAAATTCGGGTACTGTAACGTGCTTAATATTGTCATAATTAACCCCGTGTTTCGATACCCGTTAGTATAAATTCGGCGTTGACATATTTGAGCAGTATCTTGGAACACATATCTCACAAGATTGTTCGATCGAAGTCTAATGCTCATCGGCAAGGCAACGAATATATTTTTTAATTTTTGATATTGCATTTCACGGATATTTATCCTTGATTTTAACTCGCACGTTCGTTCGTTTTGTAACAAAGAATAGCAATCGACTCTGAACGCGAGCATATACTATTTGTTAAATTTAAAATGTTAGAAATGTAAGAAAATGCAGTTGAGGTGAGACAAGAATAACCGTCGCGCGTCGCGTCACTTCGCGAGGAACGACGCGAATGGTGTGAAGTTATGTGCGTATCGTCGCGCGTCACGGCGTCATCCTGCGCTTTTGCTTTTCTCTACGTCGCGCCGCGCCGGTTGCTGTTCGTTAGTTCGTTGCGTTTAGTTCTCTAATTCACGGAATGTTGCGAGATCAAGCGGAATCGTGGCTTCGTTCGATTCTTTCGTGATGATCCGCGTTGTTACGAAGTGATTAATTTTCGGGAGCGCAAAGCGTCGCGCGATTGTCGTGATTCGCAGGTCATCAGTACGCGATCATAACCTCATTTGCGCGAGTGTGCGTGAACGTAATGGAAAAACATCATGGAGAGACAAAAGGACTGCCGACGAGTAAGCGAGTCTCAACTTCATTGAATCCGCGTTTTTTCACGCGGTATTATTTCGTTATTAAGTGCGTCGAGATTAATATTGAGAATGCCATACGAAGTATCGCGCGATTGTTGTATTCTGATTATCGGTGCGCGATCGTGTTTTCGCGAGTGCTCCAGTGCAACAAGGAAGCTGCCACGGAGACATAAGAAAGGTAGAGGAGGTCTGGCAGGCATCAGGCAACGGCGAAGCAACTATAGGTAATTTATTACTTGTTTATTTATTTGTTACTTGCGGAATATTGATAACTTATTGTCCTCGCGACAATTCCATTCCGCGTTTTTTTATTGTGGAGCACATAAAGCATTAAAAATTATTTTGAGAGACTTAAAAT